CCAGAGTTTGAAATCACTCTTGCTCAAAAACAACAAAACATACATGCATGAAGTAAAGTGTATTGAAAAGATCAATATATCAACATAATCAACACTGAAAATGACAATCATACCGCGACCGAGAACGACGTCAGAGCCCCCCAAAGTTGGGTGTGGTACAAAACTCGAGCTTTCAGAATCATGGACAATAGGCAGAGTACATAAACAATCGCTCACCTTCAATAACAAGTCATTAGTAGCGTGTGTGACCACCAAATGCCTCAATACACGCAAAAACTCTTCGACGTACAGACAAAGTCAGTCGTCTGATGAGGTCACGTGGGATTTGACGCCATTCTTCTTGGAGGGCCAAGATCAGTTCTTGCCGGTTGGCTGGAGAGTGTGGTCGTTGTCCAACACGACGATCCATCAAGTCCCAGAGGTGTTCTATGGGGGACATGTCGGGTGAGCGTGCAGGCCACGGCAGGACGTTGACGTTGTTGGCTGCGAGGAAGTTAGTGACAATTCTGGCTGTATGGGCTCTAGCGTTGTCATGCTGATAAATGACACCACGTGGCTGCTGTTGGAGAAATGGTAGGACAACTGGACGAAGAATGTTATCCATATAACGCTGAGCTGTCAAGTTTCCGTCAACGATGACCAGCGATGTCCTCTCCTGCCCACAGATCCCTCCCCACACCGTGACACTCCCTCCACCATATGGTACGACCTCCTGCACGCAACACGCCGCCGTTCGCTCACCCCTTCGGCGGTAAACACGTTCTCACCGACAAGTCGATTCTGTATGTTTATGTCTTCCACCAGCCCTAAACATACAGAATCGACTTGTCAGTGAAGACAACCCTCTGCCAGTCACGTCGTTGCCAACGTCGTACAGTCCGGGCCCATCTCAAACGATGTTGCGCTGTCAATAGCTGTCCTATATATTGTCTAAAAGCCCTGATTCCATGAACCCTGAGTCTCCTGGCCACTGTCTGTCGACTAACCCTGTGACCTAAGGCATTTGTCGCCGATGACGTCACTGTCAGGAAGCGATTTCGGAGGTGCAAGGTACGCAAGTACCGGTCATCATGGGGCGTGGTCACCCTGGGTCTGACTATTCTTGGCCTGTCAGCGGTCCGCCCTGTCTGTCTGTAACGTTGCATCAACACTGGAGCAACCGAAGGTTCGTGCAATATGGGCGTGGGTGGCGCACTCAGCAATATCCCAGGTATATGACGGCGGTCTTTAAATAATCGCGTCTGGACCAGACAATCAAGTGATTAATATCATGAGCATCGATCCACGCAATTGGGATCGATGACATGCATCAACCAAGTCAGCGAGCCTGACCACCCGATCCCGTTAGTCGCCTCTTACGACAAACATCGTCACCTTTTACGGCAAGCATGGGCTGCCGAAGACCTATTCTACCCCGGAATCATCCCACGTGTCCCTATTGATGACACAATCATGACTGCCTTAAAACATCACACAAAACAAGCGACATGGAGTCTTACGCTCCCACGATGTTGGAAGAGATACATAGACATTATGAAATTATGGAATTCATTAACAGTTAATCATCCCTTGATTTCTAAGTAGCAACTGCCCCTCCTGCCAACATATTATGTACGGAATGTACCCTTTTATAAAACAATAAATCTTTTGATGTCTGTCATGTGTCTCTTGTTCAATGATTGTAAGAATTCTCTTAGCTTATTTCAACAATTCAGTGAGTGAGTTAGTGAGTATATTTTTACGCTGCTTTTAGCAATATTAAAGCAATATCACGGTGGAGGACACCAGAAATGGGCTTCTTACATTGTACCCATGTCGAGAATCGAACCAGTTCTTCGGTGTGACGAGCAAACGCCTTAACCACTAGGTTACCCAATCTCCCCTTCAACAATTCAAATCTAGTATGTCTGATCATAATTATGATGGCTATACCCTTAATTGATCTCAAGACGCAGACTTTACATGTATACTACTCAAAAAGAGTTCAAGAACATGGCGACAGGTTAACTATGAAAAGTGTATATATGACTTAGTCATATGAAAAAATTGGGTATTCCTTAACTTCCCTTGAGTAGTATATTTGAAATGTTTAATTATGCTTACAGGGCTCCAGAACATGTTTGGAGCCATTCGGCATATCCTCACAAGTTATCATTCACATCGGGTATTGATAGTTTTCTTTGGGTATTCAAAACTGCTGACTCAGAGATAATCTCGGTAATACAGTAGGTGCACAGTACTTGATTTCTATAGGAGCGTAGGACAATGACAAGTGAAAAACGGCAGGTAGATAACTGCCCTAATTGTTTACAACTTTCGTTCAGAACTTTTGATATGTACAAATGAAAACCCACAAAGAACCCAAATATTCCCCCAATGGAACTCCCTTTTTGTTTTAGATTTGATAAAGGCTCAGAAACAGAGACGACAATGTGTGAAATATCCACAAAAGTATAATGGTGTTGCTTATACTTTCAACTTTCTGAACTTAATATTTTAGTTCTTTTTTTGAGAAATCAGATATGCTTGTCTGAATGGTTCACTCATTGGTACTGCGACATTAGAAGACTTGATGCTGATTGGCTGCTTCGAGATACACCTGAAATGGGCATTAGCATCTTATGTTTGTCTTTTAACGTAACAAAATGGTCAGGTATTCCGATTTGGTGACTTGGCAGACTGCAAGTCACCATATCCGACAGCGTTGATCGCTGCCCTAAAAATCAAACAATGGTTTGCCTCTTTCAGTTCAGTAACAGTTTATCCAAATTTTAGCCCAGGGCTTAAAGGACAAAAACAGGATAGGAAGAATGGATATCCCATGTGTAATGAAACAATACTCACAAATGGAAGGAGAGCAACACTTAAACGTAAGACATGATTTTCTTTCCAACTAAAGGATTATGATTCAAGAACATGATAAATATAAAAATGACACTTGTCTAAAAATTTGGTTGGTTGGTTTGTTATTTAACGCCACACTCAGCAATATTCCAGCCATATGACGGCGATCCACGCAATTTGGATCGATGACATGCATCAACCAAGTCAGCGAGCCTGACCAACCGATCCTGTTAGTCGCCTCTTACGACAAGCATAGACGACGTCTAAAATGTAACCAAAAACCAATATCGCAGCGCGTGTTTTTCATATGCCTTTAAATTGAGTACCCAGAATATCCCCTGCATGAAGGGCCCAATGTGTCTTGTAAATGTGGAAATTTCTAACAGTGCTTAAGGTGCAATACTGGTACATATTGGCCATATAGAAGCATGCTACAATATATGTTAAGATATCCATTGTGGGAGATCAATAAAAAAAATTATTTGTTTTAATCCGATGGGATTTGAAGCGTTTTATTTTTCCGTTTTTCAGACCATGGACTAAATAAAGAGGGTGCTTAAAACGTGCAGTCCTGGTAGTGAGTCAATAATTTACAGCCATACAGCTGTTATATTGCAGTGTTGCATTAAACATATGATTTACAGGTTACTGATCTAAACAGGCTTCCATATATTTTCATCAACATTCGGATTGATATTATGAACAACGGAGAACGATGATATGCAATCACCCAAATCAAAAAGCCTGAGCACCACGCTTTTCTAGTGACCCTATAATGATAACACGTACATTCGTATGTTTTGATTAATACAAGGTAATAACTTCACCTGTCGCCCTTATTTGATGGGGCAAAGGTGGTCAAAAGGGGCAAAGGTCCAACGTGGCGCAATCAGATGTGCTGCATGTATTGGTCATGGGATCGAATTTTAGATCTTAGAGTTTTCCTAGGTTTCGAATGCCATAACGCCAAACATTGCCAATCATTCAAATTGCATCATTCAGTGAGATCGGCTTTGTGACGTCACTTCCGAAGCTAAGCTTTTGTGGTATGGATCTTAAAAATGTACCCTACTAGACCGGAGATGACGGTACACTTGACAATGCGGGTGGCCCAGTCGTCTAAGGCGCCGCGATTCGCTGTGCAGAGTTGTGTCCCTTAAGCACGCCGGAAACCTATGATTGTGGGTTCGAATCCCCTTTCACCCCGATTATGTTTCTAGGTTTGTCAGCACCATACCAGTGCTCGTGGGTTTCACCGAAGTGGTAAACGTCTGAGACCTGCATCACTTCGGGCTTTCCTCCCTCATTAAGCTGACACGCCGTGATATAACTGGAATACTGTTAAAAGCGGCCTTAAACCCAACTCACTCACTCATCAACATTCAAATGCTAATCGGCTGCGAATTATATTATCTATCTCAACTTTCCTGATTAAAATCAAGGAAGAAACCGTTCAATGATCAGGGCATGTTTTCGTCAAGTTCATTCCTTTGCAACACAACCAACAGCTGATAAATCCTTTTCAAGTTCATGTACTGTTTTTCAATGAGAAATTATAACACACGCTGTCAAGTGTGATAGTAGATTAAGAAAAAACAACCGTTCATGGGCATTGTAAGTACAGTAAACTAAGGTTATAAACGAACTCAAACGGACCACAAATTTTAGTTCGTTTCAACCGTAGTTCATTATAAGCATATATTCAACATCTATACAGCAAATGGCCGGGACCAAAAATTAAGTTCGTTATATCCGTCAGTTCGTTATAAGCGTGTTCATAATAAACACATTTTACTGTATACGCAAATATCGATAAATAAAACGTGAAATAACTTTGCACAAACAAAACAAACATAGCAGCGCTTTCGAATCAAATATGCATCAATGTAAAACATAATTACAATAATATTAATTTATCGTCGGATCATACCTTTACTGAGTGACGGCCTTGTTTATCGCAATTATTCGCGCTGTTACGAGGGGTGTGGCGTCACACTGACATTGTAAATATCTAGATGATCGCCTGTGTTTAAGATGATAAAGTCATCTTTTATAACTAAGTGAGATGTTTCACAGTTGTTCTTGTGATTAGAGAATAAACTACGAATGTTTCCTAAGCGCTTAAAACCCCATAACACAGAGATCTTATTATTTACCTGATGTTGCCAAACGCCACAATAAAGAACGCTATGGCAAACCCGTGTCCAACCGCTACCGCCGGGGCCGATGGGGGGGAAGTTTTCGCTATTCCGAGGGGATCTTGCACCGTCAAGCACCCCACGAACACAAACAGACACATCCCTAAGAATTCGGCCATGCAAGGTTGCAATATTTTCTGGAAAGGTTTCGATGGACTATCATCTCCTCTGTTGATAAGGGCATCGCTTTCTTTCGTCATGATGCTGTGAAATTTGATGTCCCGCCTAGAACAGATGTGCTCGACTGTCACAGTTTACGGCTAGTAGCGAGTGATATACACGAACCAATGTCACTCTACAGCCTAAACAATCAGCACGTGGTCAGGTCACGTGATAGTTTTTTTATGCAAAGCAAGAACGTTGATCTGGACAGATACTGTATGTTCGGTATTATCATGATCTATGAGTGAGCAAGCGATGAATTTCTTTCATGTCCTTCATCTTGACATTTTTTTTAAAAGACATTTCTCGTTTGTTGAAATACATAGGACAGCGAGGCGGTATGTTTTTTTTATATTGTAACAATATGCACGGTTCCTTTTTGCTGGCGGACCAAGGTGGGTGGGGGTAGGGGAGCGGAGGGGAGGGGAGGGGGACCAGACTATCCAGTGATGGACATCATGAGTATCGATCCACGCAATTGGAATACGATGACATGCATTAACCAAGTCAGCGAGCTTGACCACCTGATCCCGTTAGTCGCCTCTTAAGACAAGCATAGTCGCCTATTACGACAAGCATGGGTTGCTGAAGACCTATTCTACCCCGGATCTTCAGGGGTCCGACGGCCTGTAAATAATCAAGTGTGGACCAGACGATCCGGTGATTGCGAGCACAAATCCGTGCATGCACGTCGCTATATGAGTGCAATAATCTTGGACGCGACGTTAAACCCTATTTCACCTCACCTCACCCCACTCACTGTTATATTGGTCGTGAGTCTTTTCATGTAGACGGGTGGTATTGAAATAATTATTTTCTGTACTCCCCCCACACTTATACGTCCAGATAGATGGAATTATATATAAATTGTAATTTTTTTGTGACTTCGAAGTTATTACAATTTTGAATTATAACTGTGTGATTCCTTAATTCCCCTTATATATCGATGAAATTGTGCCGAAAGATATATCGGCTGAATGAGAAGGGATGAGTTATTTGGGCAAAAGAACCAATTTTGATCAGTTGTCAAAGGAAGCCAGTGAGCGATCCCAAAAGGCTGGAAGAACAAAACTCCCACGTGACCTACCTCCGCCCAAATGAAATTAACTTTCGATTGTTGATATACAAAACTTTAGATTAAGAACGAAACTTTCATGATGATTATGCATCTCTGTTAAGGCGTTAAAATACTCAATACGTGATTAAATATAAGCGAGTAAGATGTTTATTGCTAAACAGGACATATCTGCGTTTCTAATGAGCTAAAGCCTAAATTCTCTCATCTGAACGTGTATAATTTAATTTGGTGGGTATATACGAATTAACTACTTGATAACGAAATGGTTTTTGAAGAATATTTATTAAACCCTCCTATTTCTGGCATTTGTACAAATTGCGCTGTCACTGAACATAATGTGAAACTGTTCTCCCACCATTCTGCTTCACTCGACTTCACATAATTCTGCTACACCCGACTTCACATAATTCTTTACACACGATTTCACATAATTCTGCTACATCTGACTTCACATACTTATTTACACACGATTTCACATAATTCTGCTACATCTGACTTCACATAATTCTGCTACATCTGACTTCACATAATTCTGCTACATCTGACTTCACATAATCCTGCTACATCCGAATTACACAAATGAAATACACTGAACTGCAAATTATACTTTGCACATTTAAAAATAATGTGATTTTAAATTCGTTGTACTGGTTCGACCCAAATAGGCACAACACACATCGCCCAAACGCATCGGTGTTGTACCTGTAATTTTTACTATCAATGCCAATGTGTTTTTGAGAAAATGCGAAAAATATAGAGCCACGTGATGTCATTGCTCTTAGAAATGCACATTTGAAATGCCCAAGACTAACATCAGAACAACGTGAGCGAGCAATTGGGATGGTCCAGATGGGGGCCACGCAAACCTACGTTGAAAGAACCTTTGGCTGTTCCTGTGTTGCCGGGGGGCACGGGTGGCCCAGTCGTCTAAGGCGCCGCGATTCGCTGTGCAGAGTTGCGTCCCTTGGGCACGCCAGAAACCTATGATTGTGGGTTCGAATCCCGGTTCGCCCCGATTATGTTTCTAGGTTTGTCAGCACCATACCCGTGCTCGTGGGTTTCACCGAAGTGGTAAACGTCTGAGACCTGATGCATCACTTCGGGCTTTCCTCCCACATTAAGCTGACACGCCGTGATATAACTGGAATACTGTTAAAAGCGGCATTCAACCCAACTCACTCAATCACTCCTGTGTTGCCGTTGGAAACCTCAGACAGACTGGAAGGACATCGGCCAGACCCAGGACAGGGAGCCCACGGGTCACTACGCCACAGGAAGACCTATAATAGCATACGTTGAACCTCCGCAACCGCTTCCTCACAGTGACTTCAACGGCAGTGAATGCTTTGGGTCGGCGGGTGAGCAAACACTCAGTGACCAGAAGACTTCGGGCAGCATGTATCAGGGGCTGCCGACCGTTCAGAGGACAGATGTTGACTGCTGAACATCGACGCAGACGAATACGATGGGCTAATACAGTGCGACGGTGGCAACGTCGGGATTGGCAACGTGTGGTCTTTACGGACGAAAGCAGGTTCTGTTTGTTTAGAGTTGATGGCAGGCAGCGTGTTTATCACTGGATTGTCTTGGCCAGACTCGATTATTTACAGACCGTCGTCATATAGCTGGAATATTGCTGAATGCGGCGTTAAACAATAAACAAACAAACAAATATTAAGTGACAAAGTAGACACAATTTATGGTTAACAACTTCTTTAATACTGTAAAGGTCACGTTTGGATAGATCCTTATACTGTTGTCAAGCAAGACTGACTTGCATGACAACGGTAGACGGATCTATATTAAAACGTCGCCTTTACAGTTTTAAAGAAGTTGTTATCCATAAATTGTGTCTATCTTGTCATCCGTCAACTTCTCAGTAATACCTATCAAACAATTCAAATATTAAGTGTCAGAGGTATTGTCGATATTACCATTCATGTCCTTGAAATCTTGGGAATGCAGAGTGTGTTTTTTCGATTTTATTTCAAGAAACATCCTTTAAAAACACATCTCTTGTACATCAAGGTGTTGCAGTGAGAATGTTCGGGAGTATTGCGTGGGGTATGACACCCATGCCATATCTTAAACGGCCCGCCGACGGGGGCACGCGTGGCCCAGTCGTCTAAGGCGCCGCGATTCGCTGTGCAGAGTTGCGTCCCTTGGGCACACCAGAAACCTATGATTGTGGGTTGGAATCCCGGTTCGCCCCGATTCTTTTTCTAGGATGGTCAGCACCATACCTGTGCTCGTGGGTTTCACCAAAGTGGTAAACGTCTGAGACCTACATCACTTTGGACTTTCCTCCAACATTAAGCTGACACGTCGCGATATAACTGTAATACTGTTAAAAGCGTCGTTAAACCCTACTGACTCACTCACTCGATGCACAGACGAAGATACTTGTATGTTGTGTGAACCGACGCTCAGGTGTGCATCACATGTGACGTCATAGACCATTGACTCAAAATACACCATTTGCCCCGTGCAGGATTTGGTGTGTAAACGTTGGAAATCACGTATAGCATACCGTGATAAGAATAAAGACACTGTGGTAACACTTGACTGGTTCTCAGTTTTGTCATTAATGGTACACAATTGAAACATCTCTTTTTAACTTACATCCTTTATCAAGGCAGGGAACCACTCACATGATTAATTCAATAAAATACCTGTATACAGTCTGACCATGGCGTCTGTAAATTGTGCTTAGTTATGAAAATTAATATTATAATTCTGATATTGTTGTTTATAAAATTAGAAGATCGTAGTTTATGTATATATTGATCACGTTTTGTTAATCATGTTTATCTTCTAAAATGTAAATCATATTCTTTTGGATATTTCAGATAATACAGTAACTAACAATTACTTGTTGTATTTTTTCAGATTTATCAAGCTACTATCTTCATTGATGTACCGACAATTGTATTTTCAATTCAGGCTGCGTAAGATATTAGTAGTCGTTAGCTAAGCATCATTAGTAAAGAGCTCTCGTCTTTTGTTAGGTTCATTTCATGGGGTCAGTCCATTGGAATATAGGGTGGGCAGGCATATCTTTGTTGACCAATCAAAGTTGAAGCTGAGGTGTTTTCTTGGCTGGCGTGGTTTTAAATCTCAGTGTTTTAAGTTCTTTTATTTTCACGACTGCACTTTCAACTCCCACTCAACTCTGTCCTCGGGATGACACGGCAAGCAATTTAAAGGTTAGTATGTATAGTTGTTAGTGTGTCCTATATGCATAAATCATTATAGGTTTATGTTTCTAGGTTTGTCAGCAACATACCCGTGCTCGTGGGTTTCACCGAAGTGGTAAACGTCTGAGACCTGCATCACTTCGGGCTTTCCTCCCACATTAAGCTGACACGCCGCGATATAACTGGAATACAGTTAAAAGCGGCGTTAAACCCAACTCACTCACTAAGTGTAGGTAGCTGAATTCCTTTATCCTTTTAATATTATTTAGTATGTAACATATTGTAATGTGTATGTGTGGCGAGTGTGTGTGTTCTAGATATATTGTATTTCATTGTATGTGCGCCTGTGTTTTGGTCTGGATGTTATTTCGATTAACTTGTTTATTCAGTGACTTGTCTTGTGTATTCATCCTTTGATGACAGGTACACGCTTTGTTTGTTTGTTTGTTGTTTAACGCCGCACTCACCAATATTCCAGCTATATGACGGCGGTCTGTAAATAATCGAGTCTGGACCAGACAATCCAGTGATTAATATCATGAGCATCGATCCACGCAATTGGGATCGATGACATGCATCAATCAAGTCAGCGAGCCTGACCACCCGATCCCGTTAGTCGCCTCTTACGACAAGCAGAGTCGCCTTTAACGGCAAGCATGGGTTCCTGAAGACCTATTCTACCCCGGATCGTCACGGGTCGACAGGTACACGCACGCACGTACGTACGTACGTACATACATAGGAAAGACGGAAAGGCCTCCGCTCGTGTCCCCCCTAAAAATATCTATAATTAAAACGATTGGGCGGCAATGCATACCTATACAACTTGTGGAGGGGGGATACGGGCGGAAGTCTCTCCCAGCAGG